GGTGGCACACACCTTTAATCCCAGCACTCGGGAGGCAGAGGCAGGTGGATCTCTGTGAGTTCAAGGCCAGCCTGGTCTACATAGTGAGTTCCAGGACAGCGGGGGCTACAAGGAGACCCTATCTCAAAAAGACACCCCCCCCCAAAAAAAAAGGAATAAAGGGTTGAAGAATATATATGAGCTTTCTTCTCCAACCCATATGACCCACTTTCCCTCCAAGGAGTCTCTACTCTCCCAGAGACCACCACCTGCCACACAAGAGTAGTTTCGGGTTTCCAGTGGTGATGACCTCCCAAAGAACATGACTCTCACAAAGGATCTCCTTCATCCCTTTCCAGAAGAGAAGAGGAAAGACAAGAGTCTGGTACAGAACCCTAATTCCTACTTCATAGATATGAAATGTCCAGAACACTATAAAATCCCCATGGTCTTTAACCATGCACAAATGGAAATCTTGTGCGATGACTGCTCCTTTGTCCTCTTAGCCAAAGGAGGTAAAGTAAGGCTTACAGAAGGATGTTCTTTCAGGGTGAAGCAGCACTAAAGGTACCATGAGTCAAGATGAGTGGGATCCAGTCCAATAAGCACATTTTAGATTTTTTTTTTAAAAGGCTATATTTGGTGTAATGGCTACTCAGCTGCTGAAGCCAGAGGCCAGCATCTGTCTCCATCAATCCCCAAACTCACCTCCGTTCCCAAGTTCCTCCAGACACCAATCTCCAAGCTCTCACAGGAAAGGTACTGGCCATGCTGGAAGAAACATCAGCTTAGGCCTAAGTGGGGACTTCCCAGTGGCTACAGTGATGATATCAGAGAAACCTGCATTTTTAGGTGAATCAGGATACAGGCTGAGCAGCAGTGGTCCTGGGAAGGCCAGTGAGACAGGAAAAGAGATCAACACAGGCAAGCTCCTATACCTGCCCCTTAGCATTGGAGCTTCCCAGTCTGGCCTCCAGGAGAGGAAGAAGAGAAATGAACAACCAAATCTCATTTTTCTCAGACAGCCTCCCTGAGTGTCAGCTGCTGGAAGCATCTGAGAAACCAGATTATGTGTGTGTATCAACCTCCCCCCACTCCTTGACTAAAGACACTATAATTCTCACCCAACCAGGTCCTCCACTGAGTCCCATGGTGCTTCCCTGCAGGCCTCACCTGGGCTCAGGCTTTGGCCCAGAAAAGCAGCAGGGCTGTGAGGCCGCTGCTCACTCAAGCTCCCTCTGCCCAGAGTGACAAACAAGATAGCTTGGATATCACTTTGGTCCATGCTCCCAGTGCCAGAGATCAACACAAACAGACAGTGTGGTATGAGGTAGTGTGGGGGACACTGGAGGGTCCCTGCCCAGAGGCCCTGCATAGAGCTTTTCCATGTCTCCATCTGTTGTTGCCATCAGTATTCTGGGAGGATGCCAAGATCTGGCTAGCCCAATCTCCCTAGGCCCCTGACTTCTTCTCCACTCCCCGCTCCATGATGTCACTGCAGTCTGATACCCAGGCACCGCATTCAGATACCCTGAAAGGATCAGGTTGAGACAAAGCAGGAGCTGGGCACCCTGGCAGAAGGCACACAGAAGCAAGGAGCAACACCATCAGTCTCTTACCCACTATGGGGAGGTGAGCCAGCAGCCTGGCTAGAACACCCTGAGAAGGCCTGGGTCAGCTAGGTACTCTTGGCCCTCCATGATCTAAACCAGCAACGCCCTCCCCCAACCTCCGCCCCACAGGCCAGCTGGGGGTGGGGCTATCTAAGCTAGGATTTACTCTCTAAAGGATAGGCAAATGCCCATAAAATCCCTAAGCCTGGCAGGCCAGCCCCCAAGTTGCCTGAAGCACTGGGATATAACCTCACAGTATATGACAGAAGTAGGATGCTTCCAGTTTGGCCTATCTGTTGCCCCCCTCCTGCTCCATGATGGGTGACTATGTTAGGAGTAGTAAATAAAGACCCTCCAGATCCTACACACGGACCTACTTCTCCTCCCTGCCTTCCAGATCAGACATTCTGGTGGAAGCGGGAAACAGAGAATAACTTGTTTCCCAATACTGCCACCTCTGTGTCATGGATGACAGAGACCTCAGTGTCCCTAAGTGTGTGCCCACAGGTTCACATACTCCACAGAAGGCATCCTGTTTCTGATTTCCAACTTTCCTGCTATAAGAAGGAACAGAGACTTCCCCACTCTCCACCTGCAGGCTGCACAGAGGCTGGGGTGATTTTATGAGGCAGGGAGAGCAGGCAGTCTCAGGAGTGGCTTTCTGGAGACAGGACAACAAACATATAAAGGCAAGTGTGCAAAGGTGCAGGTCAAAAAGGGTCACTACAAACATTGCAAGCCCTTACAAAGATGGGCCAGCTATGAGACCCAGCTCTGAGGACCAGCCCCACACAGAGCTGCAACACAAGGCCCCCAACAAGCTACAACCCAGACTAACAGTTAAGAAGCCTCAGTTTCCCCTCCTCTGCCATGAGGAATGGCCTGGGTGCCCACTCCCCAATATAGATGTGGGGGCAGGGGTATTGTAGGAGCCAGCTGGAGCCCCAAAGGAAACATCTGCACATTCCAGACACATGTGGTCAGCAGGCGGGCGAGTGCCAGGCCTGTCTCCCCGCCCATTGCTGGCCGCCTTGCTGGAAACAGGGCTCAGGGGGAACAGCTCCAAGGGGCCGCCTGTGGACGTTATATAACCCATTCCTCGGGAGCCAGTATGGTGGGGAGGAAGCCCCTAGTCCCCCTGCAAGGCCCAGTTGGCCAGCCTCATCCTCTCCCTGAAAGAACAGGCTCCCCTCACCCAACAAGGGTGGGGGGGCCACTCAAAAACATCCCCTCCGAAAGACAGGGCCAGAGCAGAGGGAGGGAAGAGAAGCCACCATGAGGGCCTGGCCCTAAGCCTGGGCAGAGGGGACAGAGCCCCCAGCTGGCCTCACTCCAGGCGCCTTTTAGCACTAATAGGTCTTTCTTTCACAGTCCAACAGCAGAGCCAGCATGAGTCTAATATCCTTGCTCTGTTTTCTTTCCCTTTGCTTTTTGTTCCCTTCTATTTATGGCAAGCAAAGCTGGCTTCCAAGGCCGGAAATGATGTTTAAATTAATGAATTCAAGTTTAGGAGAGCAAGTTGAAGAAACACTCTGAGCATACTAGCAGTGGTGTGAGCAGGGGCTAGTCTCACAGATATACCCACCCTGGTTTTCCAGGGAGAAGGGGCAGGGAGGCCAGGCATACCTATCATCACTCTGCATGTATTCTGAGGCCCATCTCCTACCTGACTTGAAACCAGGGTTAGGCACAGAGGGAGAAGGGGAGTTAGCCTCAGAGATGACAGGGAAAGGCTATCAGGGTCCAGGCAGTGAAAACACCCATGTTAAGAGCCTCTCAGCCAGGCTGGCACCCAAGGGTCTCATGGTCCCAGGGCTTGAGGAAAAGAGGAGGTCCCACATGTTACAGGATACACTGTGGGGTCTTTGTGTCCATACTGAACCCTCTGTCATAAGTACTGAGTCCTCCCACAACTAAACTGTTACCAAAATAAGTTATTGGGGGCAGCATGCCTGCCTAGGATCCTCTTGAGACTCATATGCAAAGACAGAGATCAGAGACTCAGGCCATAGAACCTTAAGGAAGGTGGGTCCTCCCCACACTGAGAGAAAAGTCCAGTCCAGTCCAAAAGAGAGCTGTTCCAAGGGCTGTCCACTGTCCCCCTGTTAACAACTCCAGCAAGGAGAGGAGGGTGCTCACTCCTACCTACAGCTGGAGCACTAAGGCCACTCAGAGCAAAAGGGAAAAGACTAGCACTGGAGCTCCTATCCTCCCTCCAGACTACTTCCTGGTGCCCATGTACTATGACCTAGCACCAGGACAGGAGCTGCTCTCCAGATGGGAACTGTAAGGCTTGGGGAGCCTGCCTCCTCTGCCACACCACCTGAGAGGTCTACAAGTAGCCAGCAAATCCAAGCTATTGAAGGAGGGTGGCAACAGGCAGGTGAGGTTCAGCTGTAGCCCTGGCTTTCCAGGGTCTGTTGAGTCCTACAGTGAACAGGGGCCTCAGTCCAGCCACAGTCCCATCACCATCACTTAGGGGTCAGGTATGGCCAGTGGCAAGAACTAAACTGATACCAAAGCTATGAAGCACTATGGGGGGGGGGTGTCAGTCAGGCCCCTTGAGGCTCCTCTACTCCCACAGCTGCAGGCAAGAACTAAACTGATACCAAAGCTATGAAGCACTATGGGGGGGGGTGTCAGTCAGGCCCCTTGAGGCTCCTCTACTCCCACAGCTGCAATGTGGCCCCTCACCCTAAAGGCTGCAACCAGAAGCTGGTCTACCACTGCTGGGGGGACAAAGCCCTTTACAAGGCGGCCAACGTATCCCCTAGCACCAGGGATATGTTTAGCCAGGATCAGGGCTAGAAAGCCCTGCCCACCTTGACCCTCAAGTGCACCCCTCTCTTTGTCATTAGTGCCTGGGCATAGTGAGGCCTGTTGGTGAAGAAGAAAACGGCTGCCAAGCCAGAAAGAACGAAGTGTTCCGAGAAAGGACATGAGCTACATTTTCCAGCTGTGTCTTGTCCTGCAGGAAGACATGCTCACGCCCTATGGCGCCCACACAGGGCCAGCTGGAGCCACAAGGGCAGCCGAGGCAGGCCAGGCCTAAACAGGGAGTCCAGACAGCAGCAGGAGAAGCGGGATGTTTTCATTCCAGAGCGCTAGGCAGGATGGTTGTCTGGGCTCCTGCTGCTGATGTTGGCCACTGCAATGTTCCAGAAAGGAAAATGTGTCTCCATCCAAAATGGCTTCCTCAGATGAAACCCAACTCCAGCCAGGGTCACCATGCTCCCTTTCCCCCTTGGCAGAGACACCTTGGAATAGAGGAGAAAGGAGACAGCAGAATGACCCCTTATCCCCAGGGAAGCCTCAGGGGGCACAGGCACAACTCAGAGTCACAAGATAGCAGCCAGAGACTAGCCTGCTTATGGCCAAAAAAGCAGACAGAAGGCTACAGGAAGGCCATGTGGAGACACCCTGTTTGCCCACCTTTGGAGGGAGAAACCAGAGCATCTTTGAAGAGCCTAGAAGAGGGGAGCCTGGCTGGTAGCGTGTGTTTATAATTCTTATAATCCTAGCACTGGGGCACTGAGCAGGATGGCTGTAAATTCTAGGCCAGCTAGGGCTATCGAGTAAGACTACATTAAAAAAAAAAAAAAAAAGGGAAAACTGAGGCTCACATACATTTTGGTTTCCCTAAAATCTCCCAAGGGCCCAGTACTGTCAGCCAAGGTGCACTGGGCACATGGAGCAGAATGCAGAGCAGTGCCACATGATTACCCAAATCAGAATAAGGTGAACTAAGAGGGTGGGTGCCATGGTGTACTGCCTCAACACAGACTCATTGCCACATACATGCCCCTTGGTTCATCAAAAGACAACATAAAAAGCTGAGACAGTAGCTGGGCGTGGTGGCACACGCCTTTAATCCCAGCACTTGGGAGGCAGAGACAGGCAGATCTCTGAGTTCAAGGCCAGCCTGGTCTACATAGTGAGTTCCAGGTCAGCTGGGGCTACAGGGAAACCCTGCCTCAAAAAGACCAAAAAAGCCGGGCATGGTGGCACACGCCTTTAATCCCAGCACTTGGGAGGCAGAGACAGGCAGATCTCTGAGTTCAAGGCCAGCTTGGTCTACATAGTGAGTTCCAGGACAGCTGGGGCTACAGGGAGACCCTGTCTCAAAAAAAAAAAGACCAAAAACATTTTTAAAAAAAAATCAAAACCTTGCACTCCTTATAGGTCTAGGTCAC